AGACAGGTGGTAAGGCAGAGGTTAAAATCAATGTACCATAATACAGAGGATTGCAGGATGTCACTTTCATGCAGGCAGTATGTCAGAGGACTGCAGGATGTGAGTTTTAGACAGTCAGTATGGCAGAGGTTAAAATCAATGTACCATAATACAGAGGATTGCAGGATGTTATTTTCAGACAGGCGGTAAGGCAGAGGTTAAAATCAATATACTATAATAAAGAGAATTCCAGAATGTCAGTTTCAGACAGGCAGAATGACAGAGGTTAAAATTAATGTATTATAATATAAAACATTGCAATATGTCTGTTTCAGACAGTCAGTAAGGAAGAGGTTAAAATCAATATATCAAAATACAGTGTATTGCAACATGTCTGTTTCAGACAGGCAATAAGGAAGAGGTTAAAATCAATGCACTTGTAAAGTTGCAGAAAAGTTTGATGAGAAAATGAATGCATGATCTGGTGTCATATTAAGCAGCCATGTCACTTATATAGAAATTATCACCCTTGACCACTAGATTGTCTTTATTAGTGCTTGCAAATATTCTGAAATGTCATATAACATAAGTACACAATAGAGTGATAGGTATCCCAGCATGTCTAGTAAAAGGTTTGCCCAAAAAGTAAAAGGAGTAGTAAAAGGAGTCCCAATAGGAGCCTTACATGCAAGCACACTAATTATGCTATGCTTTTTTTCTGAATGGGCTGGATGCAGTGGTGTCCAAGTACTTGCACAGTGATATACCCAGTTGACTCAGTGAGGCACAGTTAATAGCATAGCATGCTGTGGGTCTTCTGGCTGCCACAACAGAAAGTTCTAATTTAAGATCTTAATTTTATTTTTCTTTATGTTTTTTATTGGAATAAACCAAGGAAAAACAGTACAGTACTTATCTCCAGCTTAGATTACAAGGGTACATCCAACAAACTGTAGTCCAAAAAACAAGTCTTGTATCAAACACAGTGTATCCAAGTCACTAGGGTCAGTTGCATAGATAATAATTGCTTGTAGAAACTTAACTCAAACAGTTGGCTCTTATATGAATAGAGGTAGTAAATGCTGTGATACTGAATGAAATATAAAAAAAATCCAAAGGAGAATAGATACTCAAAGGAAGGATCCCAAAAGGTGAGGGAGGAAAAGGAGTCAAGAAAGGAAGAAGATAAGGTGAACCTTGGGTTGAGACATCCAACTCTGCGGTTTAGACATGCCAAAATTATCTGAATGTTTTGGGGAGAGCAGAGGTGGGCTTTTTGCAGAAATATGGTTAATTGTTTCATTTCCACTTTAAAACTTAGCTGGTGTTAACTTCTGAGATATAATCTTAGAATTTCTTAATTAATCTAAAAGCACACAAAAATTTAATGTTTAGCATAATCTATCTATTCCTACGAAACTAGTTAAACTAAACATTAACACGTTACAGAGCTATGAAATTTTATCCAAAATGCATTTAAAATATTAACCCCTTACAAGTTAAATTTGTTTAGTAATTAAAGATCATATTTTCCTTATAAAGCTATCTGTCTGTTAGAATAAAGATACTGTAAGTAAAATGCACTAAAAGCACCACACCAGTGGTGATAGTAGAGGATACTTTAATAAATGATCAATAGTATGAAAAGTCACTGCATTCCAAGGGCTCCCACACTCCTTCAGGTGTTAGGTGTAATATGACTTTAGCGATGCCTGGACTATATATCTCAATAATCAGAATACACAGTGCTTTGTGCAACACAAGAAAGGTAATTGCTAAAGATATAGGTGGTATGACTATTATTTGCAAAAGATGGTGGTTGTTTTGTGAGTGTAAGAATCTGAGTGAACAATGCTGGGTAAAGGAAAGGAGTGGTGATAGTTAAGACTACAACTGTTCGGTGTATCTGCTCAAGTTTATAGATTTCATCATCATCATCGATAATAGATTAAATAGATTTCATATCTCAGTTGAAAAGATAAATTTCATATCTCAATATCAGAAGGTTGTATACAGGGCCGGACTGACAAATCATGGGGCCCACGGGCAATAGGGGATCATAGGGCCCCTGTGTCCTTGCCCAAACTCAAAAAAAGCCTATGAAAAAGGTACCAGGGGCATCTCATGGGGTCTCCCTACTGACCCCCCGGCCCTCGGGCAGTGCCGAGTTTCCAAATGGTCTGTCCGCCCCTAGTTGTATAGCATGAAGGTCTGTTAAAATGATTTTTGCCTAAGGCCATCTAGAAAAGTTTACACTTCAGCTTACTACTTCAGACCACCATATGGTCACCTTCCCAATTGACTCCAATGCATTTCACAAAAAAGCAGTACATTTCTCTATTTCAGGACATAAGTGCATGGGTGCAACTCATTTTGTACTGGCCTGCATGTTTTTCTGCTTTACTATCCTTACATTCTCATGAAATAAAAAAATGAGTGCAAATAAAGTGACAATGACAATAACGATGATAATGATGATACCTTTAAACTTTGGCACATACACCGAACAATTGTGGTCTTAGCGATCACCACTCCTTTCCTTTACGCAGTATTGTTCACTCAGATTCTTATACTCACAAAACAACCACCATCTTTTGCAAATAACCACCTATATCTTTAGCAATCACCTTACTTGTGTTGCACAAAGCACTATGTATTCTGATTATTCAAATATTCAAAGCGATTCCTTAACCTATCCCCACAAAAAACATGGAGGTTTAACCATCATTCTTCCTGCTCTTTTTGAGATGTTTTATTCTCAAAAACATTGTGCAAAACCATTTCCATATTCATTTCAAAGTTAGTGGCACATACCTAATTAACCCTTTTATGAGAAAAGGTATCCTTGAACTATTTTATGCAAATTACTTTCTAGCATTAATGGCAATCTAGGCAGTCCACATCCAAATCTTTACACTAAGGCTTATTGCATCACTCCTTAGATTACTTTGTTTAATTAATGCTGCACCAACCATAGTTTAAGGAATATTTATAATGTTTGGCCTTTTTTGCATACAGTGCTTTTACCAACAGCTATATTTCACTTGTGAATTATGGTTTGTGCATTTACATATACACTTAGCAAAAGGTAAGGGAACAGTCAAATAGTGTGGCAAAGTAAGTAAGTAGGGGGTAGAGTTTAATTGCATAGGTCAAATGCTTTAGCGCTTTTACTCAATATGTATGTTTTTAAAATACTGCTTGGGTTCATTTAGAGCATTCCAGGCTCAACAAGATTTACATGTTTAATTGCTAACAATAAATTGTTAACTGAAGACACTTTCAGAAGAGCTCAGGTTACATTTTATATAAGGTGCAAGCTTGGCATTTTACTGTAATTAGGGAAACAGTAGGCTATTAATTTAGCTGGGCTAACATACAAGAAAGCTTGAAATCTAATGTTACAAATACAGTATTATTTAATGTTTCCAGGAATAATAATGTTTTAGATGCTTCATTTGCACTGCCAGTCTCCAAACACTGTATTAAGGGATGATGTTGTTTTAGGTACATGAGACTGAAGATGCCATTTTGAACAGGTTCCAAGTGCCAGAACTCTCAAGACATCCAGCTGACTTGGTCGTAGTTCAGGTTCAGTAGTTTGCATCACCTGCAAATCTGACTCGTTTATATGTACTAGTATAGTAGCCCCAAAGAACACTCACCAGCTCTCTCTAGCCATTGCATTGAGTTTTTGTTGGGCCCTCAATAAATAAAGCTGAGCAAAGGTCAGTGAGGTCCTGTTTTAACACTGATAGGGATTATAAGGCATTAATATGCTACTTGAGGCCACATACTGTACATCAACAAGTTACAAATCCCCACTCTATAACCCTGTACAATGATATAATTAACTTGAGGTTATTTATGGAAAGGGAGCCTATGCTGCAACAGGCAACAAAAATGAGTTGGATGCACATGGTGACCATGTGTAAATGTATAATAGTCAACCATAAAAAAATGTTTTGTTTTCAACACTTGTTTTATCCTGTGCTGAAATGAAATAATGGAAAGAAGCTGTTAGGGGACACAGTGGGGTTTATTTACTAAACCTGGTTGACTCAGAATCTTGTTCACTTCTGCATAAAAACCAATCAGCTTCCAGGTTTTATTGCTGAAGCTTAACTGAACATGCTGAGGTTAGAAGCTGATTGGCTACCATGCCCAAGATTCCGAGTCAACCAGTTTTAGTAAATCTCCTATAGTGTGTCCTTTTTCCTTTATTTAAATGTTGCTAAGTCTTGGAAATGAGCCTCTCCCAAAAATCCCAGAAGAACAGGAGGTGGAGTGAAATGCAATTGGAACTACAGCAGGAAGATCTTGATGTTGGAATATCCAAGACATACAGAATATGGAGCAAAGGACTAACTGGTTCCACCAGGCCCCACCTACAGCTAAAATATTGCTTTTTATGTTAAAAATAAAAAATGACATATATGACACAGTGAGGTTTATTTACTAAAGCTGGAGAGTGAAAAATGAGGCTCACGTCTGCATAGAAACCAATCGGTTTCCAGGTTTTATTGCCAAAGCTTAATTGAACAAGCTGAGGTTAGAAGCTGATTGGTTTCTATACAGAAGCTAACCTGATTTTGCACTCTTCAGCTTTGGTAAAAAAAAAACCCAGTCTGTCAATAGTATTAACACTGCATTCTTTGTTTCTCTGAGTCTTCCCTGTAACATAAATTTTTTACCTGGTGATTCATCCACTAAGTCTGTTGTTTTTCAACTTTTTAACCACTTGCCCACTGGGCACTTTTACCCCCTTCCTGCCCCGGCCAATTTTCAGCTTTCAGCGCTCTCACACTTTGAATGACAATTGCGCGGTCATGCAATATTGTACTCTTATGAAATTTTTATCATTTTTTTGAGACAGATATAGTTTTCTTTTGGTGGTATTTACTCACCTTTGGGTTTTTTATTTTTTGCTAAACTAACCAAAAACAACTGAAAATTTGGAAAAAAAAAATTTATCTTAGTTTCTGTTATAAAATTTTGTAAATAAGTGATTTTTCGCCTACACTGATGTGTGGTAATAAGGCTAATAGGTGGCACTGACTGGCACTGATAGGTGGCACTGACTGGCAGTGATAGTTGGCATTGAATGGCAGCTCAGATGGGCACTGAAATGTGTCACTAATGTGCATGGGTAGGCACTGATATGTGGCATTGATGTGACACTGAAGGGCGCTGGCAGGTGGCATTGATGGGCACTGACAGGTGGCATTGCTGGACACTTACAGGTGGCACTGAAGGGGCTACACTGATCATCAGGGCACTGATCATCAGTGCCCTGATGATCAGTGTACATGTCCCCTCTGATTAATGCCGATTACCGGCTCTCCTCTCCTCACCAGCTGTCACGCTGACAGCTTGTGAGGAGAGGAATGCTGATAACTGGCATTTCCTTATTTACATGTGATCAGCCTTGATTGGACACCTCTGATCACATGACAGAGCTGACGTCATCGGCTCTTTCCGTGATCGGTGATCCGCTGTGTCCCAGGGACACAGAGCACCACCGATCACCACGCTGCACGCCCCGGGGGCTGCGCACGCGTGGTTAGAGTGGGCGGACGTCATATGATGTCTTCCCAGAATGAGAGAACCACCTTGTGTCCGTCATTTCCTTATATGGCGGACGGGAGGTGGTTAAACAGGCCAAGCTGTCCAGCAAAGGTGGCAGTCAGAAGGTTGAGAAAAACCATTTAACACTGACAAAGATGCTTACAATCATTAATTTTTATTCACGTGTGCAAAACCTTTATCCCAAAAGTTAAAAAAAAAAATATTGCTGTAAGAGCTGATTTACACATGTGTGGTGCAGATTGAAGCTCAGGTTTCACAGCTTTCACAGATGCTGTAGTTGTTCAGCGGTTGAAATTTACATCAGATGCAGGTCAGGATTTTATCCTGTTCATACATATTAGAAACGGTTCCCATAGAAGTCAATAGCCTGTAATCAACACCTGAACCTGAAGGCAGTGCTCAGAAATCCTACATGACTATTTTTCAAACTACACTGAATCCGCACTGAATCCTCACAGCTAGTGCACTGGACATATGTGAACAGGCACCATAGGAAGCAATGTTCTTTCACATGTCATGTGGATTGGATGCTAATCAAACTGCATTTAATCTGCATATATGTGAAAGTGCTTTAAAAGTCTGTAATGTAAAGTCCATCTGAACGTTCTAGTCCATCCAATACCACTGTCTCCACTGATTGACAATACTGCTGTCCAAGGAAGGCTACATTGCTCCACTATAGATGCAGTGTAGTAATGAATGTAGCCACCCTTCCTCTGGATTAGTTGTGGGTATAGGATTATAACTTTTTTTTTTTTGGTTGAACTGGATGAACTTTTGTCTTTTTACAGCCAGACTAACTATGTAATTATGCAACCCTAAGACAGGAGATGTTTTACTGGCCCATCACCAGGTGAAAATAAAGGAATAAAAGCCTGATAAAAAGAAAATGAATGCAGCCACCACAGACAATGATATGTGTTCTACAATACATTACATTTTTGATTTTGTAGTTAATTACACTTAATGCTTTTAGGTATGCTTTCCTATATGTACATGTTTTTACAGGCTACATAAAAGAAAGCAACCAAAAACATTTTGTATTATAATTTACTTTGAGGTGATCTATATGTTTATGTAACAGTGGTTTCAGTCTAACTTTGATCTTGAGCACCTTCTTGTCCAAAATATTAAGGTTGGCATTTCAAAAACAAAATGATTCTAACATTATGCTAAAACCATTGCAATAACAGTAAAGCGAAGAAGACTACTGATCAGCTTATTTATTTTATGTCCCAACATTTGCTGTCATGCTACTGCTAATTACCTATTTGTAAGAACTGTGCGTGGGAGAGGCTGTGAATCTCATGAACAGCTAGAAGAAATTGATCTCTGTGTCACTGTTCTTTTCTAGAGGAAAGAGAAATAAATGCCATTTATTACTAACAAAGTCTATCCAAGTGCTGAATATATGGAGAAAGAGCTATGATCATTTATTTTCCGAGGGGAATTAAATAAATTCATAGAGTCAACATACAAACAAAAAGGAAAAAAAACTTTTGTAATTTAGAAAGTCATCATATATCTAGCAGTATAACATAAGAAGAAACAGCAATATATATTGTATGTGGTACAATTGTGTAATGTGAAATACAACATATAAGAATGAGAATTTCATTTTAACATCATGGCCGGATCTAGAGGGTGCTAGGGTGAGTTATGCCCCCCATATTTCAGCCCCCCCCCATCCCCACACTCAGTGCCAAGACAAGTGAAAGGGAGCCTGGAGCAGTTAAGTCCAGAAAGTGACACAAAAGAGAGAGCCCAGAGTGCTGTACTCTGCCCCCTCCTCCTGTCAGAACAGCGCTGCTCCACATAGCTGATGACACAGGATCAGTCCAACCATCAGGCTGTACAGTTTCATTAACCACACCTATCCCCTCCAAGGACTGCTCATCTCCCAGCAGCAGGAAATGTGGGTAGGGGGCAGGTAATGAAACTGTGTACAGCCCGATGGTCGGAGTGATCCTGTGTCATCAGGTATATGGAGCAGTGCTGTTCTGACAGGAGGAGGGGGTAGAGCACAGCACAACCCGAACCTCTGGACTGTAAGTTGGAAGGATAGGGGTGAGGGAGCTTACAGGTGAATTGTACATAATAAGGGGAAGGAAAGTGGGAAACATTTGTGCTTGGGATGAGAGGGGGCTATTTTTGCTGGAAAGGGTAATAGGGGGTTGGGGGGGTTCTGCTAGGAGCAGGAATAGGGGGGTTTGAGGCATGAGAGGGCTTGGGGGGAATTTTTGTGCCTATTTGTGCTAAGAGGGGGGTGGGTGATTTGGGCTATAAGGGGGCGTAGGATTTGGGTTGAGAGGGGTGGAGGATTTGGAAAGGGAGAGGATCTGTGCTGGGAAGGGTACTTTGGAGGGGGCTTTGCTAGGTGGAGGAATTTAAGTAAATTTGTCATATGGAGGGGGGATTAGCTGGGGGGATTTGTGCTAGAAGGGGGATTAACAGGAGAATTGTGCTAGAAGGGGAGATTGGGGGGATCTGTCCTATGAGGGGGATTAACAGAAGATTTGTGCTAGAAGGGGAAATTTGTACTTGAATGTGTGATTGTGGGGATTTGTCCTAGGAGGGGGGATTATTGGGGGAATTTGTGCAAGAATGGGGATTGGGGGGGTATTTGTGCTAGAAGGGGGGATTGGGGGAATTTGTGCTAGGAAAGGGGATAGGGGGAATTTGTGCTAGGATGGGAAATTCGAGGGGGGACTGGATGTGTGCATGGAGGGGTGATTTTGTTTGGGAGAGGGAGATTTGAGCTAAGAGGGGGGAATTGGGGGCATTGGAGGCAGGATTGGGGGGCAATGAATTTGTGCTGGGAGGGTGGTTTATACTGGGAGGAGGGGAAATTCTTTCATTATTATTTGGGGAGAATTTTAGCTTGCAGATAGAATTTATGTTTGGGGGGAGCATGCTGATTAGTGATTTTTTTTTGAAGGGGAGGGATTTATGCTGAGACAGGATGCGCACACGGGGGGAGGGGGGTTAATTTGTCACCTTCACCTTAGGAGTTAGATTACCTTGTTCTGGCACTGCCCTCACCACACACACGGGCAGTCAATAGATCTTCTCCTCCCCACACAGCACATAGCTGAGATCGGATTCCTTTACAGACACAGCCTCAATCTGCAGTGTATAGCTGGCTACTATGTTGCAGTTCTGACCCTGTCCTCTTCTCCTCTGACCCCTGTCCTCTACCCTGCTGACCTTGTCCCCCATCCTGCTGATCCCTGTACACTGTCCTTATGACCACTGTCCTCTGCCCTGATAACCTCATTTTCCCTGCCCTGCTGGCCTCCTTTCTTCTGCCCTACTGCCCCACCTTTCGCCCTACTGCCCTGTCGTTTCCCTGATAACCCATATTCCCATCCTCTGCCCTGCTGACCCCAATCCTGTGCCCTACTGAACCCCTATATACTGTCCCACTGATTCTTGTACACCTCCCTGCTGATCTCCCATCCTCTGCCCTGCTGACCCCTATTTTGTGCCCTAGTGACCACCTGTACACTGCTGTACTGACTCTTGTATACTCCCTTGCTGACTTCTCATCCTCTGTCCTGCTGACCCCCCATACACTGCTCTGCTAACTCCTGTACACTGCCTTGATAACCTGCTGTAAACTGCTCTACAAACTAATGGCCTCTGTACTCTGCCCTACAAACTAACCCTATCTCTCTGCCTTGATGCCCCCCTGTACACCGCTTTACTGACTTCTATACACTGCCCTGTTGACCTTGCATCTTCTGCCCCCCTGACATTCTTTACTGCACTCCCAGATCAGACAGGCTACATCTGGCCCTATTTAACATTTAGACAGTTATCACCTAAATTTTAAACAGTTCCCCCTCAATTTCAAACATCCACGTTGTGTTTGTTATGCTCCTTGTAACATGATGTTGTATATTTTGGTACCGCCAATTAAATATAAATTCTACTGCATAGAAGGGCAAACAATGATCATTACTAGACAGAGCTGTATATTTTTTCATAAAATAATAGAGGCAATTCTATATTTATAATTATGTAGCACAACCAAAAAACAACATAAATAAAAAAAAAAGAATAAACAGTCCATACGTGATGAAAGTCAAGTCACCCATGTGCAGCATGCATATCACCTCCCATGAAGGATATCTGCTCACCTCCAGATATTAACCCCAATCTAAAAAACAAGGTCAAACTTGATTCAAGGTGCCCCTTCCCAGGCTCTATGCATAATGTATTATGGCTCCAAATGGTACATCAAACCAGCTCCCAGAAATACCTTCACTCCTCCTCTCTCCTCACACATGGAAAACACTCATGCAAAAGGAATAACACGAATGGTGCTCTCTGTATATTTCAAATATTTATTTAAAAGCTAAAACAGGACACTCACATAGAAATCCACACCAAGTGCCATGATATGCACACAGTACATATAGGCAGTGACCCTTACCCCAATGCTGTACACCACCTGGTCATTGCAATAAAACATGCCAACGTACCTCCATTCCTATATATAGCCTCTTAATTAGGCTTCCTCAGTTAGACAGGAGCAAGCCAGCTTACCACTCTTAAATATTCTTCCAGCCACCCAAATGGCCATGGTAACTGGAAGCAGAATAGAAGTGATGTTGCAGGAGACCCAGTCACACTGGAAGTGACATCTCATATATCCATGTCCTCCTACTGGATATACAGAGTAGAGAGTCCTACTGGATATATGAGACCAATGTATTGTCAACGTATGGATTAATTCAGATTTTGTCCTAAACTGTTTTGTCAGTAATGCTTAACAGGGAAAGATGTACATTAATTTATGCATATGACTGATTATGTGATTTAGGTTTTGAACTATTTGTTAATGTATTGT